AACTTGGTCTTAAAGGTGCCACTGGACTGTTTTGGACCGGGGGCCGGGGGGGGAGCTCTGCAACTTACCTGGCTGCTTCTTGCTCTGACTGAGGCCTGCTGGGAGCAGGGGGTGGGGCTTGTTGCATGTGCCTGCCCCCTGGGCTCTTTACTGCCGGAGCTCCGCTCCTGTGCGCTCCTGCAGGAAATGACACCTGGTTTTATACACTCCTTTTCCAGCAGGTTTCCCCTTATAAGTGACTGAATGAGGTGTGAGGACCCAGGCAGAGGAACAAACTATTTTTATTAAAGAGATTTAACAACAACTGTAGTTTAATCACATGTAGGAAAAATGAGCACAGTAAAGGTAGGCAAACCAGCAAAATAAGATGCACCCTAACACGTCCGACTCTACTGCCCCGGCCTTCTCTAGGTATTTGGCCTCAAGCTGACTCACTCGTTTTGGATGGGGTATCCCTCCTTCTACAGCAGCTTCATACCAGTTCTGCTCCCTGGGAGTGAACCCCCTCCCACTTTGGGCAAGGCCTTTTATCTCTTCTTCTAATCTACTATTCTACTGGTGGAAGTTTTCCCTCCAAATCCCCCGTTAGCCAATCACAGGGCCCAAAGGGTGACCTGGGAAATGCAGGTCCTGTAGTCTCTCCCATACAGACTTCCCTGGAGCCACTAGGCCTCCCTAGAGCCTGTAGGTCACTCTACTATAGGCCTAGGACCATGGCACATGGTGACATCACTTCTGGGCAGGGCTCTTTTTTTGTAGAAAAAGCCCAGCAGGAACTCATTAGCATAATAGGCCATACCGCTGACAGCACAGCTCATTCACATATTAGGCCACACCCCCATTTTACCAGAAGCGTGGTCATCCAGCCACACCCACCTTTTGCTTCTTATTCTGTTTACCTTGTTTGTTGTCAAAACCCAGGGCCTTCTTTTGTAGCAGGAACTCCTTTGCGTGTTAGGCCACACACCCCTAATGTAGCCAATCCTAATGAGTTTCTGCTTTTGGGTGTGGCCTATTATGCTAATGAGTTCCTGCTGGGCGTGGCCAACTCTGGAGCCAGCCGGAACTC